TGTAATGAGGCTAAAGATGGAAGGGCAGCTCCCATCCTGCCTCATATGGAGAAAATGAAGGGGAAACTGAAGTGAACATAACAGCTAACAAGAAAAAATAATGTTTCCTCACCCCACGTCTGCAAAATTTCCATCTGCTTATTGCTGGGGTTTTCAAACACCTGATGGAGGTGCTTTGAATACTTGAGGGAATACAACCCTTGTTTACAAAGGGTAAACAAGTGGTTGCTAAGATTATAAGGAATGTTGTGTAATAAGACTAACATCATGGGATTACTGTTGTGAGTTCTCCTCACTCATCATCTTTTCTTCCTTCCCCACAAGACTTCTATTTCATTAGATTTTTTGAGTCATATCACTAACAATTCTAGGTGTTTTCAGTGAACCCATGAGAGACCAGGGCTAGACAAAGCCTGGGGGCTAGGACATGTAGAAAACTAACAGGCACAGAGAAGAAACTGCAGGAGAAAAGGGAGGGGAGCTCTGCAGTGATAGGATTTGATTTTCACCGCGCTTCTCTATCTTCTCAGCAAAGTCATGTCAGGAATGAAGTGGTGGTCTTTGGTGACATCTTTGCATGATAGTAGTGACCAGATACTGCCTTCCCACTTCCTCAAGCCACCCAGCCTTATCAGATGAATGTAACACTGGGGGCTCACTTGTCTGTAGACGCCAAACATAAGGCTTGACATTCCTGTGGAATTTTCTGTACAAAGCTGTAGGCTGATAAACCTCAGCAGAATGCGCTGCTGCAGAAGGAAGCCATGGTATGTCTGAGTGTTGCTGCTCATGTGGGGGGGCCACTATCACACCACCCAGAACAAGCAGTACCATTACTGCACGTTTGTTGCCCCAAAAGACATGATACTCTCTCAGGACATCACTTAAAAAGATTGCACTGAGAAGCCCACAGCTTGTGAGATTTCTGCATACTTAAATTTCTATCCACACTAGGCTGTATATTAGCAAAGTCTGCTAATGTATTATACCAGGATCAAGTGATCCCTTTGCTTTAGACTTCAATTATCACCTTAAGCACACTCTAAAGGTTAGGCATAACATCAAACACCACTGGTGCTTATGGAGATAAAAAGACTGCCTTCATTTGAGGACCTACACAGTTCTGTTATTGGGTCTTAAATCTGTGGAAAGGCTGGCAAAAGGGACACCGAGATCAGTTTAAGATGAGCAGAAAACACTCAACTCTCTCATGTGTAAAAGGTGAATTTTTTGAATAGGCTAAGTCTACCTTAGCCAAAAGGTAAAGTATCCAATATGTGTATGTCTGTGTCACTGTGCTACAACCTTCCATAAATATGGCTAGTGCTCTCCAACCAGTCTGTGGGGTAGGATCACAGAAACCTCCCCAGATGTGTTGTCCACATTGTTTTCTGCTCCCTGCACGAACCAGTGGTTCTGAAGAAGGCCTCTCTGTTCAGAGAAAGGCCCTACCACCTTGTGCTTGGCCCCCAACCCCAGGCTCTCTCATGTCAAAGAGATGCCTCTGGTTTGCATGTGCTCTGGTTCAAGAAGCAGCCTCATCATCATGTGTGTGAGATGGAAAGGTTTGGTGGTGTGCCAAGCCTCAAAATCCAAGGTGCTGTCTACAGGAGTGGGTGCAGAATCTAACCCAACTAACTACATGCCTGGCCGCTCTCTGGCACCAGGCACACCTGCTTATCAGTCAGAAGGTAAGTAGCTTGCATGCAGGATTGCCCTTCTTGTGTGCCAAAAGACACTGGAGAGAGTTTGCCTCAGGTGCTTTGCCTGGGGAGTACAGCTGGAGTGCCTCACACACCCTGAGCAAGATGTGGATACTGATACAAGTCCTAAAAAGTTGTTTTGACTGTTCTGGACACTCTTGTTTCAGGATATAAGGCAGAAGCCACTCTGCCTTTGCTAGAATAAAGCAATTCTTAGTCATATTTAAATTATTGCTCAGCTTTTTGCCTCTACAACTAGATGGCTAAAGCGTCTGGAGAATTGACCGGAGCTCCAGGACAATGAGGAAATTTTCTCCAGAAACAGCCCTAAATCCTAAAATCCAGATCATGGCAGATTTGAATACAAGAAACATCAATTCTGTGCCATTTTGAGACTTCTGTCCTGATAATGCAGAAATCTGGATGGGTCCACCTCCTTCTTTCAGGCATGCACACCCTGGCCTTTCACTAAGAGCCTGAGGTGGAATCTGTTTCCACAATATCAACAATATGTTTCTCAGGATGTGCCTCTATGGCAGGTGTGCCCCAACATGTGAGAAGTGAAAGCAGATCAAACCTAATCTGAGAGTCAGAAATGTGCAGTGGTCACAGAGCCCTACTGCTTCTATTATGGTGACGTGTTTTTCTTTCCTTTTGCATTGTAGCAGCAAGAAGGCAGGAGCCAAGGGCAAGGTTGGCGGGCGCTGGAAGTAAAGAACCAGGCAGGATGGCTTTTAGTGGCATGCCAAAGCCCTGCTGGTCTCCTCTCCTTCTTCTTCTCCTGTGTTCCCACATCTCAATGATAACAAAAATCGCAACATCAGCCTGGGTTGGCTATTGCTGCTGCTTTTCTTCTTTTTCTTTCTGGAGGGGTCTGGTGGCTTCCTCAGTCAAAAGGAATCAGGTTCCCTGTGAAACTCCTTGCTGGCATTTTCAATTCCTGCCTTCATCGTGCCAAGATCAGCCCGATGCTGTCCTGTAGATTGCTGTGTACAAATCTCTGGATTTTGTAAATAAAGCACAACCAGTACCTTCTCCAATGACAGCTCTCTGGAGTGGTGTTTCATACTATATTTAATGGCATCCCATTTTGTAAGGTATTGGGAGTTGGTCCAAATCCTTATTTCATACAATTTGATCCAGCTCTACACCTGGGGATGAAGTTCAGTGTCATCAACAAAGACCCAGGGTCAGAGTCCTGTTTTACAGCCATCACACAGTCAGGTAACAAAAGCCAGCTCTGTTCTGTGGGAGCTCAGAATCTGGGAGTCAAAAGTAGTTTAAATTTACTTAAAGTTTGAGTGAGGAAAGAAATAAAAGAATTGGGAATAAAGGAACAAATCCATAGCAGTGGTACTTTTCAGCACACAGCATTTCTTACAAGCAAGTAAGTCACATGCACTATAGAGAATGATTATTTCAAATATTTCATTAAAATGTTTCTTCATGCAATTATTCCACGTCAAAGCCCAAAACTGAAATGTGAATTACCTAATTAATTCAGTGTAGATGTCAAAACACAAAAGGCTGTTACTAAATTTGGAATGTGAGTTATTTTTAGGGCCTGGTCTCTTTGCCAACCCTTGAAATGCACCCTGTTGGAGCAAAGACCTCCAGGGATAGTGGTTCTTCCCTATGTTTCCAAACTTCTGACTGTTCTGGGGCCTACGTTCCCACTCTGGCTCTCTGTTAGTACATGCTGCAGTGTCATAGATTTGTAAGAGATGTTTAGGTGGGAAGAGACCTTCAAAGATCATCTAGTCCAACTCCCCCGCTGTGAGCAGGAATAACTTTCAATAGATTAGGTTGTTCAAAGCCCCATCCAACCAGACCTTGAACATTTTCAGCGTGACGGGGCATCCGCAGCTTCTCTGGGAACTTGATCCAGTGTCCCACCATCCTCATCATCCAAAGCCCCTTCCCTATGTTCAGCCTAAATCTACCATATTTCAGTTTAAAGCTGTTGCTCCTCATCTTGTCGCTATAGGGATTGTAAAAAGTCTGTCATTCTTGTAAGCTCCCTTCGAAAGGCTGCAGTGAGACTTCCCCAGACCCTTTTCTTCTCCAGGCTGAAGAACCCCAGCTCACACAGGACAGGTGTCCCAGCCCTCCCACCCTTTTTGTGGGCCCACCCTAACAGGGGGGAGGAGGGGACAGGGGGGAGGAAGGGACAGGAGAAGGAGGGGACAGGGGACAGGACGGGACAGGGGCAGGAGGGGACAGGGGAAGGAGGGGACAGAGGGGAGGAGGGTCAGGGGACAGGAAGGCACAGGGGGGA